AAGCGTAACGGGGATCCCCGGGTGCGGCTAATAGCGATTCAGCTTCCTCCGCCTCCCCCGAGTCGGCGAGAGAGAACACGTAGGTCTGGGGCGTAGGTAGGAAGGAAGGTAGGTAGGTAGGTACGCAGATATGGTAGGTGGGTAGCCAGGTTGCTAGGTAGATGCATCACGCCCGGATAGAGCTTTTCGTAGCCGTCGCACCGTGCGAACGGGTTTTTAATTTCGGAGCCCCGTCCCGACGTGAGCTCGCGAGCCCCGTAGTTTAACAGACGAATGGCCGGATATTAAACGTACACGTGCGCGTCCAATGGAAATGGACGGGTTCGATCTATCCCGATTAGATTAACACCCGACTGCCCCGTGTGCGCGAGCGGGCGCGGATTAAAAAGCGTACATCAGCTCGTGAAACTGAGGCCACGCGCTTTCTAGCCGAATTGATCGATCTATGAACCTACTGAAGCTCACACTGGATGAACTGCACAGCTTTTCGACACTCGGGCAAAAGTCTGATTTTTTGTTCACGCAATAGCCGGTATATTTTACTAAAAATAATATCCAACCGGCAAACGCGCGACTATCACTTTTTTTTTCAGGTAAATTTGAATCTCTGAAAAGTGGAGAACCAGATTCGTTTGTGCTCTCCTCGAATTTTGACGCTATTAATGTCACCGTTCAAGGTTCCTCGTGTGCTCTCGCGAAGACCAGCGCGACAGAGACGGCCGCGCTAACGCGGCTAATTTTCTGGGAATCGTCACGACCCACCCGTCCATCGGGCCTCGTATTAACGACGGACCGCACCGTCCGTTGATCGCCGGCCGTTCGCGGTTGGCGATCGATGGTTTGGATTTGGGCCAGAATGACGTCGGAAGAGCCCTCGCGCACCCGCGCTCATGGGCTTTTCGGCGGGGCGGGCAGTGATTGCCGGAGCGAAATTGAGGTCGTGCCACTGGCCGTAAACCTCTGAAACGCCGCCACCGGCCGCGCCATTCGGTCAATTATTCGCTTCGAATTACGGCCCTCCAATTGCGCGAGAGTTATAAGAGCAGTCCGGCTGCTACCGCTCCGATATATACCGGCCGCGGCGGACTCGGTCGATTGGCAGCTCGTTTATGATAACGGCCGATGGACGACACCCACCCGCCCGGTCATGTCTCGACCCTGTCATCATCCCCGTGCTCGCGGTCGCCGGAGTAATTTCTCTCGCGCGATTTCCCCGCACGTCCCTTCGCTGCGAAGAGTCTACCGTTCGTCGCGCGCCAAAGAACGGGATTACAAGCCGCATGCATAGACTCGTATCGCTCTCCGTGCCTCTTCCTCGCTACGAATCAAACTAACGAAACTGTTAATCAGGATTGGACGTTTACGCGTAAAATACGATAGTTCGCTTCTATACACAGGCAATGTCAACTATGCATAATATGTCGTATCTACTCAAAGGGTCCTATAGCGGTGTACCGAAAATCCGGTGAAAATAGGGAGGACTAGTCTCGCTAGAGCGCGAAGAATCGGTTACTCGTATAATATCATTTTACCCGGCGTAGGTACATCACTCGCGACAGCCTCCGATTTATCTGAAGTTGAAGAAGCAAGGGATTTTTTTCAAGTGCCGGCTATCGAGCTGCTTCGCTCGATTACGATCTCGGAGGGAGTCGAGCATCACGCGCGCGGTTGGCTGTATAACGTGTGGCTTGTAGCGACAATCTCGCATCCCGGCTCGACGCGTATCGGCGTATAGGCCCTGGGTCGCGCAAATGTGCGTGCATACGTGCGTGCGTGTGCACGTCGCAAGTTGCGAGTGTGTTGGCGCGATGTACGCGCGCCTGTATCCTCCGCAGGAGACCTTGACAGGTCGGGCCGCGCGCGGTTTAGCCGCGGCCCTCGCTCGTATATCTCAACCCACGCAGAAACATTCGTTAGTAAGCGATCTCTAAAATGGATACCTTAATGTGGCTTTCGCAAACATTATTACGGCGCGCGACTGCTTTTCCCGGTTCTCCCGCCCGCGCAAATAGAACTACTTTATTCGCGTTCCCTACGCGGCCTCTCGACGACCCCGTTTCGCCGCAGCTTCAAAGAAGATTCTGCGTAGCACTGGCCGATATAAACCGCGCTTCCAGCGGTCCTCACGGCGTTTTCGCGACTCGCCGGCGAATCCAGACCGGCGCGTCTCGAGGAATTCATGCGCCAAGTCTGATTTTTCCGCCACCGCGGATTCGCCTCGTCCACGGTTTGATTTCTCTATTTTAACCAGCTCTCTCGCATTTACCGTGCCTTCATTTCAATTCCATCCGAACGGCAAAAAGTTCGTATAATTGTGATGTGAAAAAATTTACAAGCGTGTCTCTTGTATTCTTTCGCCACCTTGAAAACGCATCCACTATCGATATTGGGTTACGATTCGATCCGTCATGTCACGACGGTCTAGAAAGTTTACAACGACGAGCGGTGAGCTCACAACGTAGAGTGATGAGATGAAAAGCGATGCGTCAGTTGACCAAGTTGTAACATAATACGAACACCGAGATAAAGGGGTACGAGAGAAAAAGGGTCACGGAGAGGCGGAAAGAGATCGAATCGAAGTAAGTGGTAGTATCTAAGACAGTTCGTAGATGCAACTTACATGTGTACCATTTCGACGCTTCACCGATTATCAGCGACTCCCGGGGAATCGTCGTGCTGCAGAACGGTCGGACAGACGGAAGAAGCGGCGAGACGGAGAGCCGAACATCAATCCGACGGACGCTGCAACAGAATATAAACCGAGATAAGTCGGGAGAAAGAGAATAGAGAAAGAGGAGGTCAAGCGAGACGAAGAGAAGGAGGAGGAGGAGGAGAGCGTGTAAGAATGCTTGTACCTATAAAATTCGTAATTGCTATTCGCGTCCCACCAGCCGCGAGCATTCTAGAAACGCTCCCGCGTACAATTTTGATGCATTATCGCGCATTATCCTCTGCTTCCCAAGATCGATACCCCGGGCTGCAGCGCTTAAAGAGCAAGAAGTGACGATCATAATGTGGAACGACGAGACGAAGAGTGGCGCGTCAGTTGACTGAGTTGTAACATAATGCAAACGGAGATAAGACAAGAGAGAAGCTCCGAAGAGGAACAAGAGGGAGAGAGAGAGGGAGAGAGAGAGAGAGAGAGAGAGATAGCAGGGAAAGGAGAAAGCAAACGAGAGGGAGAGAAAGGGAGCGCGAGTCGACAGTGGCGAGCGGTAGCCGGTCGACTGACAGCGCCCAAAGAATTAGTATCTTGTATCTGGCGAAGGGCGCCACAAATCATTTGAGGGGGCTGTCAGGCATACCTTGAGCCTCAACTCGCGAGAGAGAGCCCGCTCTTCTCTCTCTTTCTATCTCTTTGCGCGTTCTCGCCCTTCCCCTCTCTCCCTCCCTGTCTCTTTCTTACGCTCCGTGTATCGCGAACGGTCCCGGAACAGGCGCTCCTCTTCCTCTACTCCTCCCTTCCGTTCTCCCGCTCGGTCTCATCTGTGTTCACGTCTCTCTCTCTATCGCGCTACGGAAAGCAGGAACATCAAAGAACACCGACGCCACCGACGCCGCTAATGATATGCGACCCGCCGCCACCGTCGCCACTGCCGGGCAACCTGGAAACTCGAGGACGCGCGTTCCGACCTCCCTCGGAAACAGACCTTCGGTGGAAAGTTTCCGCAGTGGTTTCTCTTCCTCCGAAAGAGAGAAAGGGAGAGAGAGAGAGAGAGAGAGAGAGAGATACGAGTTTGGATATCAATTAAGTGGCGGAAGTACTAATGGCGCTTAAGTGCATCGGCGCTTTACGCTACCCTAATTCGAGAATAGCGTAATTCTTCGTGTTCGAAAATTCGGGGGATGATATGCCGCCTCCCGTCTCTTTCGTTCAGCGTTCCTTCCACCCGTGTCTCGCCGACTTCGGACGGGGGCGCGTGGTAAGACCTTCGCCGCGCCGGTGGCGGTACAAGTTTTCGCGAGTTAATTTGCACTCGGCACGCATACGCGCGCGCGCGCGTCCCTTCGCAAGTTAATGTAATTCGGCGTTACAGTTTCCTCCTGCCCTCCTGGCTGGAGCGCCCTCGCGGACCGACCGCTCGATGCGAAGGGCGCGACAAAGTCCACCATTTCAATCGCTTAGGTTCGCGCGAATTACCGCCTACGGCCCTTTACGGCACATCAAAGGGACAGGGGACCGTGAAGGCGCACTCCCTTCGCCTCGCACGCGGCTGTCTTAGCATATTCGAGTCCCAAGGCATCTCTTTCCTTCCTCCCTGTACTCCCCCTCCCACCTCCCGGCTTTCGCTCTCGTTCCACCTTCACCCTCGCCCGCGGAAAAAAACGGCCTCGTTGCTCCTCGAGAAAGCATATGGAAGGTGTTTGACGTGCTGGCAATTCGAGGAGAGAATGCGGAGCGATTGATCCCTAAAAGCCCCAAGGATAAACTCGCGCATTTTTCGTTCGGGAAGGAATACCCCGGCGCGGCGGCGGGAAGTGGAGGGGGAGCCGCGCGCGAATAAAGCGTTTATTCAAGCGGAGGTGCGCCGTATTGACGTGAAACTTTTTCTCGCCGCCATATGTCGGTTATTTACTCACCTGCCGGCTACGTCTTAATTTCGTGGAGGTCTAACGGAGGGATATTTAAGCGGTGTTTTACCGGCGTCGTGCAGCTCGGAATTTCGGTTTCAATTTATACATCCAGCGCGAATGATGAGACTATCGTGATAATGGGTTCCATTTAATGACGCAGGTCGACTTCTAGTATCGTTTCTGCGTTTTATCTCATTTGTGTCACTGTGCGTCGGTGACTCAAGTCAGCTTAGATGAGCTCAGCTTTACAGCTGTGAGTTGAGCGAAATTGATTGATCAGTCTCCGGATCTTTCCTGCGTCTAAAATTACTCGGTCAACCAAATTATGCGGTACATCAAACACTAACAATGCTCTTCATACTCTTTCCTGCGCGATCAAACACGCGTTTAATTAATCACGTGAATCACCTCGCTTCTCGTTTCAGGTGGCGGTTAAGATAATAGATGTCGCGCAAGGCAAGGACTACGTGATGAAGAATCTGACGAGGGAGGCGAAGGTGCTGTCGATGCTGCAGCACCCGAGCATCGTGCGGCTCTACGAGACTATCCGGGTGAGAGCATTTCGGGGGG